CTAGGTAGTGCATACTGATACTACTATAATCAGTGAAGCCATTCAAACTATAGTCCCCTAAATTCAAAACAGAGGCTGATGCTAAATAGGGCTATTTGCTTTGTACTACACCAGTGCCATACAATCAACACAGTTAGGTGTGAATCAAACATGATTCACAAGATAAACCAGAGATTTCAAAAGGAAGCCATAGTGTGCAAAATAGTGTTAAAAACATCCTGGCCCTTTATGGTCTGAGTTCTTTGCAACAGAAGAATTGCTCTATTATTTTTAATTGCAGAAAAATAAAAGAGTGAAAATTAGGAGCTGGCATTTTCTGAGTGGTGCCTTGCATCTATCAAGGGTTGCCTCAAGTCAAAGACGGTTGAGAACCACTGGTCTATGAGGTGCAAATCTACCCTGCCTTCTTCCTGACTTGAAACTAACATGGCTAACTACCTCTCAAAAAGTATCGATTACCAGGGTTTTGCCCAGGAGGTCTATTTATGAAATAAAGACAGTGTCCAAGACGCATTTTTAAAAAAAAAAATGAGTTTCCTTTTTAAAATACTGGAGTTATACCCAGTGAAAACTTACAGCACATTTTAGACATTTAATAAACACAAACAGAACATATACTATAAAAAAAAAATTAAGAATATTTATCAGATACAGTTTTTGCTTACACATTTTAACAGGCCTAGTTAATTAAAAACAAATTAATTGAAAAAAAACCAAAACCCAGGTACTTTCATTTAATGGGATGTAAAATCAAATCCCTCATTTACTCTCAAATCATACCATTTCACACAAATGAAGCAGTCATCCATACACATCTGACATTTTTAGAAAGAGTTAAAATAGTTTCTCTTTCAGAAATAAAACTTTTGTGTAAAGCAATCAAGTGATGGATTTATGGGTTATAATCTGCCAATAGATTTTTCTTCTCCAAAACAATAAAACAGAAATTGAATCTTAATACATTCCAGAGAAAACCAGCCTGAAAGGAGAGAGAAAGATGTTCTCTGATTAACTCTTTCAACTGACCTAATGGGCAATATTCACAAGTTCCACGGGAGTGTCATTTTCAGCTTGACTTCACTGGAGGTAGAGTGATTGCAATGCACATTAAAATGAACAACAGAGGGGAAAATATCTAGAAACTAGATTTAACACTGAAGAGACAGTTAAAAATACTTGGACACAAGCACTTATCAGCTCACATCTGTCTTCCATTACAAGAGTAACTTTGACCAACATCTGTTATCTGTTACCTGAAACTACGATTCTGGTCTGCCCATTCACAATTAGATACCCCTCTAACTTTCCATTAGATTTTTCTCACTTGCTTCTTGATCACCACAACCACACATGGAGACTGTGTTCTGGCTTTTACTTTGCCTAAGAAATGGTAAATATTCACTGTTGGAATGATTATCACTACGAGAATCTTGTGTGTTCAGTGTGATATTGGTACCAAGCCTGAAGGCCAGAAACAGCCTTCTAAGTAGAAGCAAAAGTGGATAGATATAGGTTAACTTTTGTAACCAATAAATACATAAATGAAGCCTACCAGTTGACATTATGAGTTCTGTCAAGGGGAAGTTTATTCTTGTGAATATATATTTTAGAAGCAGTACAGGTAGAGAAAAAGCTGTCTAACATAAAACTGTTTTTTGTTGCTTCTAACTTTGCCAAACTTTAATCCTTTGGTTGAAATTTCTCCTGCTATATATCTGACGTGGAATTACGTTATGTGGGTTATTAAGTTATGGGGGTACCTGAAACAGCACTAGGGGGTACACGTGTGTAGGCAGGGACAGAGTGCCACCACGCAGCATCTTGCACTGCTGCTGCCTGCCTGGCTGGATGCAGGGGGGAAGCTCGCACATGCCAGCTGCTGCCACTCCACATCCGGCTGTGTGCCACCCCCCAACTTGGTGGCCAGGGGTACATTGATCTGTGTCCGGCTGCCAGGGGGTACACCGATGCAAAAAGTTTGAAAACTTTTAGAGCAGTGGCTTCCAAACTTTGTCAGCATAACCCCAGTTCCTCAGCGTGACCCCTCACTCTCCACCCACAATACCCTAGCCCTGCCAGTGCCCCTCACTCCTCTCCCACAGCCCCCCAGACCTGCTGGTGCCAAAGGACCAGGGTCTGCAACCCCCTGGCCACCCTGGTTGCTGCCTGCAGAGGCAGAGGCTGCTGCATCTGGAGCAGAGCACAGAACCCAGCTCTCCCCACGTCCCTTCCCACATGGGCAGTACAGCTGGAGCAGAGCCTATGGGATGAGGGAGGATGTGGGTTGCCCACTGTGGGCTCGGGGCTCCCACCCTGCTGCCCTCCCTCCAGACTGCGGTCCAGTGGGCAGGACCAGTGCAGAAGGGAGTGCCGCACTGCTATGGCCACCAAGCTGAGGTGCCCCCTGCACATCTGGCAACAGCAGGGACACAACTCCATGCCATTGTTGCTGCCATGCCTCACCCTGGTAGCCATGATGGCATGGTGCTCCCTCCTGCACTGGGTCCCACCCACTGGGCTGCAGAGGCGGCTTCTGTCTGGAGCTGGTGCAGCCCAGCTGTAGCCCCACACCTGATTGTGGGCACAGAAGTCTCAGGAGGCACATGCCCCGCCTGACCAGGGTGCCTTGGCCCCCCTGCCACCCTCTGGCATGTTGTCTGTGGTCCCCCATGCCCCCATTGTGTTGCCTGCCCCCCGCAACACGTCGCCTGTGCCCCCTACCTTCCCTGCCCCCATAGACTTACCTGGAGGGAGCTGTGGAAGCTGCTCTCCACCAGTGCTTGGCTGCCACATGCATGTGCACGTGCACATGCACATGGTGACCTCTGCCACCAACTGCCCTCCCCGCTCATCCCAGCCCCATGCAGGTTGGAACTCTGCCAGCCTGCAAGAGGAAATCTGTTTTCCCATGTTTTTCTGTTTTAAAGGAGAAAATCCGTGTTTTTCTGCAGCATATAGAAAACCTGGATCCCTGTTTATCATGACCCCATTTGCTGATGTTGTAACCCACAGTCTGGGAACCACTGTCTTAGAGAAACTTGCACAGATTAGATCAGGGGTGGGCAAAACGCGGCCCACATGCGGCCTGCCAGGGCATTCTAAATGGCCTGCCATCTGGCCTGCAGGGCCCCTAAAAAAAAATTTAGAAAATTAATATTTATCTGCCCCTGGCTGGCTGTCACGCAGTCCTCAATGGCTTGCCAAAACTCAGTAAGTGGCCCTTTGCCCAAAATAATTGCCTGCCCCTAGATTAGATTGATTCTGTCTCAGGCTTTTTTTACTGCCTATACTTAGCCTTTTTCACTTGTTTTTTGACTACAGAACAATAATACAGCAATTCTTCTGTTACAAAGAACTCAGAAAGACCACAAAAGTCAATGTTTTTGTCACTACGGATTCCTAAAAATGAGTGAAAAATGAAAGCTAAGTACTGGAATTTTCCAAAGGGGTGCCTGGAGTCCAAAATGTTTGAAATCTACTGATCTACAGATTCTAATACTTCTTTTAAATGATGTGGGTGTTGATTCATAGATTGTTAAGGGCTGGAAGGGACCAGGTCCAGTCCCCTTGCATGGATGATGGAACTCGTTGTCTCATTTTTTTTCTTTATAAAGTTAGAAAACTACAGATTAAACGATGCTGAAGTTTCAAACTGAAGCACTCAGAAGTTAGAAAATGCCAGCACTGAAGTTCTCTGTTCAATGTCAATTTTCTTTAAATGTAGTTTTTTTGGTAATATTCAAATAAACTTGGCCTTGAAAGGGTGCACACATATGGAATGTGAGTGGCAGCCATAAAGGATTATCCTTTGCACTACAACCCTCTTGCATTGAGGGAACAGCAAGCTGATTCAAGGACTTTTTTCAATATTCAAAACTACCAGGAAAACAACCAGCAGAGATGCATCTTTCAGACTTCCATCATTAAATCTGGTTTGTAAACAAAGCTTATTTTGAAGATATCTGTAATATAAAGAATGTCTGTTTATCTGTTGTGCAAAACCTAGCTAGAGAACATACAGTCTTTTACACAAACACTGCATCTCCCAGTGTTTGATACAAATATAAAAAAAAGAAATAAACAAAGACAATAAAGAATCTATTTTAACTTTTTAAAATAAAAGGAACATAAGTAAATATGCACCATATGATCACCAGGGGAACCAATCTAAGCTGCTAGTTAGTTGATTAAAATAACATACAACCTTTAGTTTTATGAGAAAATTGTAAACAGTGAAAAGACTGGTTTAGATTATTAGGGCCCCCTCTACACGTCACAGGTATCATGCAATTAACTGCTTAATTATGCAATTACCTTAAAACCAGTTACACGTGCAAAGTACTTATCACATGATAAAAAGCTCCAACCAGCTATAAAGTTAGACCTCAAAAATATGTAGTACCTTTATAGTTGGATGCTCTCAAGCTTTAATTTGCATGTGAAACAGGGTCTCTCCATGCAGCTGGAAGCCCTGTCAGCTGAAACTCAGGGTTGGGGGACTGAGGCAGCTGCGATCCCCAAAGGTTCGGGAGACCGAGGCAGCCATGATCCCCAAGGTTCAGAGATGCATTAAATCCCAGAGCCTACACACACAGCTGGGAGTGTAAGTCCCACACCTGATGTGGCACAGCTGGGACCAAGAGCCCTGTCAGGTGCAGGACACACAGTCCTGGCTGTGTGTGGTGCCTGCACCTGGGAGCCCTCCCAGAAAAGGGGGCTCCCAGCTGTGGGAGCCTGCTTCTTCCAGATGCAGGGGAGCCCAGGATTGGGCTCCCCCTACATTGGCAATAAGGTGTAATTGGATTTAATGCACAATCCACACAATTGCATATGGCATGGCAGGTGGTATGATTGTATTGATCATGCATTATATCAAGTTGTGTCTGCCTGAGCTACATGTGCAAGCGTAGAAGAGGCCTAACTAAAATCAGACTACAACTATTTTAAACAATTTTTGAAAAAGCCTAAGTAAAATCATCAAGTCTGATCAACATACTCACCATTACCATATGGAAATGCACGAGCAGAGCGACCGTCATAACCGGAGGAATGTCCACTGTTGAACAGTAAATAGGCATTAGGGTCCTGTTTTAAAACTGTCTCGATTCAGGAGCATAATACCTAATTTTATTCTTCACAATTTTTACAATTGACTATAACAAACTATGTTAAAAGAGGACATACTTAAATTCTCCTTTTAAAGCATTAATTTAAAAGAGCAATTTAATTACAAATTGCATTCAACACAGAAGTCATATATATATCTATATTATTTTTTGTAATAGCCATGTTAAAAACCATATTAATATATAACGCTCACAATTTTTAACATTTGTTTCTAAAACACACCAAAACAAATGTTCTCTATTACATATAAACTATTCTGTTCTATCTTTATAATTTCTATTTCAAGAAGTTGCTGATATTTCAAGAAAAAACGTTTTCAAAACATGCTTGAAGAGATGCTCTATATTACGATATCCGCTCTGTTTAGTCTTCATTGTTTTTTCTCCCCAATTTAACACATTGCTTCTATTCCAAGAAAATTCAACAAAATTGGCAAAGCAATCAAACTCCATGCCCAAATGCTTGGCAACAAGCAAATCTATGAATGAAACTTTCCTCATACTCTTCCTGTTAAATAAGTGAATCTCTTTTTTTCTTACACATGTATAAAAAACAGGTGAGCTTCGATGGCTCATTCTATAAATATTCCGCTGAATCAATTTCACATTTTCATGATGTACTTCTTTCAATGGCAGCCAATTTAAATAGGTAAAATATAGAAAGGCTGAAAAGGACAATATGCAGAAAGAGCTTAATTCAACTTTCAATCATCTTTGATAAGTTTTACTGCTTCCTAGAGAGCTTGAATTAATTATCTTCACCTTACTCAACATATTTACTTATGTGCTACGTTTTTGCTGAAAGGCAACTTCAGAGTGTAAGAAAACTATTGGATCAGTTTGGTTTTAAACAACTGTATAATGAAAGCCTTATAAAATATCTGAATATTTAAAAATATTTGTAAAGATTATTTTAAAACCTTGTATCTCCATCAATGATAATTTTCTTTTACAGAAATTATACTGTACTGAACAGCCTCTATAAAATATTCCCTAAATTAATAAAAAAAATAGTAATTAAAAACCATAACAATCCAAAAACACAAACTCCTCAGGCCTTCATAAACAGTACTTTGTATTAGCTTTGTTCTCTTTAAAAACAGAGCCATAATAAAAGAACTTCGCTAATATATAAAATGAAACCCCAAATCATCTGTATTAAAACACACTGGAGGAAATCGGAGGATTTCCTCAAAGATTTCACAACACTATCCTGGAAGGTGGGTGGGTAGTTTGCTATTCTGTGCTATACATCACAAAAGAGGCTTGAGGACCTCCCCTAAATCTGGTCAATTTCAAGGAATCTGCAAAAAGCTAGAGCCAACTGTATGGTAGTCTTATGCTTGCACTCCAGCCTTGATCCCTTACACTACCTGCAAAGGACATAATCATTAAGTAGGGGTGCACCGATAGAGATTTTGGGGGCCGATACTGATAGCCAATTTTTAAAGAGGCATATCAGCCGATAACGATCCAATTGCCGATATGTAGCCCTGCAGTTTGAAGAGCTGCGTGCAGCTGGTAAGTCTGTTGTGGTAGAAGGGGAAGGGGGAACAAAGAGGCATGGGGGGGTAGATCAAAGCCCCTGCGGTGAGGGAAGAGTGGGGCTGGGGGTAGGGCAGTAGCTGGGGCAGGCGCTGCCCAGTTGGGGCAGGGCACAGGATGGAGCTGCAGCTCATTCGGGGGGCATAGGGAGGGCAGCTCCCACTGCTGGATGCACCATGGGAGGGCACAGGGGAAGGGCGTATGCCCCCAGATCTGTGTGGGGCAGGGCAGGGCAGACTGCAACTATGGGCTGGGGCCAGGGTGGCATCAGACTTTTCCCGGTGGAGGCTGGGCCAGGCTGCGCTTGGGGTGAGAAGCAGTGGCACTGGGAGGGGGCTGAAGTCACCCCAAAATTTGCCGTGGCCCCTCCCAA